GCAGATCACCTGACTCTTCTATCTTCATTACTCTTAAATATATGGCGATAGCTTATCTAGTTCTTCCAGTTGTCAGGTATGGATGTGAGAGTTGGACCATAAAGAAGGCTGAGTGCCAAAGAATTGGTGCTTTCAAACTGTGGTGCTGGAGAAGACTCTTGAGGGTCCCTTAAACAGCAAGGAGATCAAACCACTCAGTCCTAAAGGAAATCAACCATGAAAATTCACTGGAAAGACTGATGCTGAAGCTGAAACTCCAATACTTTGACCTTTTGGTGCAAAGAGCCGACTCCCATTGAAAAAGACCCTGATGCTGGGAAAGAGAGAAGGCAGGAGGAGAAGGGGATGGCAGAGGACAAGATGGTTGGATGGCATCACTGACTCAATGGACATGAGTTTGAGCAAGTTCTTGGAGATGGTGGAGGCCAGGGAAACCTAGTGTGCTGCAGTCCATGGGGTTGCAAACAGTCAGAAAATACGGAGCAACTGAACAACAACAAATAGTTTATCTCTCCAGTCCTCATATGCACATACACACACACAGGAGGATGAAAATTCATCTCTATAACAAGGATTCTTCAATCCAGTTTAAGATTCTTCTTATCAAATTATCAAGAAATGTAGTATTTCCTTCTTGAAACTTCCATCCCACCCCAAATTTCCCTAGAAGCCAGGTGTCAGATTGAACTCTAGGGATGTCAAAGATTAGTCAGAGCACCAAGACTGGACTAGAGAGTTTCTGGTTTGGAGACTTTTTCAGCTGTGTCCCCTGATAGGTCTTTGTCCATCATGCTGCAGATTTGCTGGTTGAAGTCTATCACCTGCACAGAGCCTCAGGACATCTATGCTCCAGGAACAGGGTCCCTTTCTCCAGCTTCGCTGCCTGGGCTTCCCAAGTCCTGAGTGCCATGTCCAGGTGGTTGTGTCAGAGCATATTTCAGCCTAAAAACACACTGTGGGAGCCAGACACGCCGTGTCAGCTGGATCCCATGGCAGGGTTCCCTTCTTTGTGGTGAGCCCGCTGCTCCTTGTTCTACAATAGATTAGCATCTGAACCAACCCGATCCACACACTCTCTTCCACTCATGATGATGCTCACCCATGCAGGACTGGAGACATCTCCAAGCCTCCTCCCCAAAGACCTTGGATCACATACTACCTACCTGCCAGCTTCTCCCAACAACTCCGTGTGCCAGGGCCTCAGGGAGAGGCAGGCTTGGCCAGACTCAACCAGGGCAGTGAACGACCACTTGCAGTGCGTTTTCATGAAGTTCTCAGAAGATCTAAGGTAGATCTTCTCTTAGATGATTGTGTGTGGTTCAGTTAAAGAAAAAAATTAAGACCCAACTCATCTAGCCATACAGATCTTCTGTACTTCAGACACACACACACACACACACACAGATGTATGCATATGCTACACTTTAATAAGCAAATCAGTAAGTCATGCAAATATTTTGTAAATGTTTCCCAGTCTGCCCAGATCTACAGTGATCCTTCATTGGACCACCAGTGCTAGTTCTTTTATTGTTTTCAATTAGTGTATTTCTTGCATGTAATTAAATTTTCCTATAGTTTCTCTGTATTTATTTACTTCTATTTATTGAAAAGTTTCTTTCTTTTTTTCCTTCTTTCTGTTGAACACTGTCTATGGACATAGCAATGAATCCTTCTTGGAAAAAGAGCTGTGGGAGTTAGTAGCCTCTTTAATACTCCTTATTGTAGCTGTATAAAATAAATATGATGATGCAGTTGTCCTTTCAGGTCTTAAAGTAAGCTTCCCTCTATTATCTACTGCTTTGTCTAATTTAAATATAGACGATAATCTAGGTCACAACGTCATAGGTTCAGGAAAACTGGTACTTGATTCGTTTTGTGTGGGATTCTAATCAGGCACAATATTTCAGGATTGTGGTTTGTCAAATGTATTTTGAAAATATGTTGAAAAAAATATAAATGTGCTTTAACACAAAAATTATTTTCCTGTGATTTTTTCCTGAGGAAATAATTGAGATATACAAAGTATATAGGAATAAATATAGTATTAATTCACTGGAATGGATATAGTAATGAACATTGGAAACAACCTAAATTTCAATAATGATGAGATATTTAATGAAATTAATAGTCAAAAAAATAGAACTTTAAAGAGTGTTCATAAGTACCTGTGTTATACATGCATGTAGTGCTTTCATTTCAACATGATGAAGACACAGAGAGAGTGCCTGTGACAAAGCAAACCCACAGAACACTCAAATAGTGATATTTTGTCTTACTTTCTTCTGATTCTTTGCATAACTTAAAGTAGTGCTAAACTGAAATATGATAACATTGGTTAGGTGTGTTTCTTTTCCCATCCAGTCCAGGTTCTCTCCACACTTCCAGTCAAGAATTATGTGGGGCATCTTTTAAAACTCATGATTTTAACTTTATCACAAAAACAGTATGTATCTATTTTCCATCTATTGATCCTTATCTTTTCTATCTGTCAATCTATATGTCATCAATAATCCAAATATTCTGCATATTTTAAAAGTCAAAATAATTTTTGTCACTTATCTAAGTTTATTGTTTCTGCTCTCCTTTAGAATTAAGCAAGAACTTAGCTTGTTCTAACTTCCCGCCAAAATCACCTTTTAAAATGTTGCATACTTTTATTGCTATTTTCAGTTCCTTTTTAAATAAAATATAAACCTATTTTTAGAAACAATGGCTAATTACATTATAAATATAATTTATTCGTTTATTTCTATTTACTTTAATCCCATTTCTTCCTTTTGAAATTTTTGCTTAAGGGGTGATGTTATTAATAAGTACTTTAGTTCTTCAGACACATGTGTCTAAACTCATCATCTTTCCATGCTGGAAACCTGTTTATTTCATCCTCACACTTCCAGGGTAGATTAACCACATATGACAAATAATAAAGGGTCTACCTTTATCTCCCCTCAACATTTTAAAGATGTACTTTTTATGATTTTCCAGGTTCTGTAGTTGTGGACTTGTCTAATGTCAATGCAATTTTGGTGATTATAAGTTTTTAATCTCACACATTTTCTGTTTGTAATTTATTTTGTGTAATTTCATTAAAACATATCTATTTTACACTTTATTTATTCTTCTCAGAACTAGATATGTGCTAAATATTTAAGAGCCATAGGAAAAATGCATGACTGTTATTATCTTAAATATTGTTAATCATTTCTTTTTTTTGTTTAAATTTTTGACTTTATTTTTCCATATGACATGTGTTTTTAATTGTTGTCTTCACATTTGCTAATTCTCTTTTAGTTGTTTCTAATCCAGAATTTATCTTTTCTATCAATTTTTTTAAAAATATGTTTTCCATATTTTAATTTTAGGATTTTAAATAGATTCTTTCTTTTCATTTTAATTTCTTTTTATGGATGTTATTATTCTTTCACATATTTGTTTTTGAATAATTCAAACATTCTATCAATAGCATTTCTAGACTATTCTGTCATTTCCATTTCATGGTGAGATATTTCTCCCATTTGGAAAGACTTCTTTTTTTCCCCTGTATCTTCTCAGCTCTTCATTTTTCTCATGTATATTGAAATGTGTTGTGACTATCCAAGTAGATATTCAATTTGGAACCAGATTTTGGATTATTAGCTTTGGACCTTGATCCACAAGCTAATTTGACTCATGCTTGAGCCAACTTCAGGCCTGTTTCCTAGGTTCTGGTGTTTCTGCGATTTTCTGTTGTGGCAGATGACAAAGAGTTTGTTTCCGGAAATTACTCTGAACATCTTCAGATTTTTAAAGCCTCTCTTAATGTGAAATCTTTATTTTCCACACAATTAATGTGTTCCCAACTTTTCCTATTTCTGTTCACAGAGATCAGTAAGCGTGCAGTTCAGTTGCTCAACTGTGTCCGACTCTTTGCGACACCATGGACCGCAGCACGCCAGGACTCCCTGTTCATCACCAGCTCCCAGAGTCGGTGATGCCATCCAACCATCTCATCCTCTGTCGTCCCCTTCTCCTCCTGCCTTCGATCTTTCCCAGCATCAGGGTCTTTTCCAATGAGTCAGTTCTTCTTATCAGGTGACCAAAGTAAGTGTGCAACTGTTTTCCATTTCATTGCTGTGAGTGTGTTTCCTCTCTCTCTCTCTCACTCTCTTTCTCCCTCTTCCCTCTCCTCTCTCTTCAAAACTTACAATCTATATATAGATAAGTTAACGTATGAGTCTGCTTTTTTCAACCCCCCAACTAAATCTGAAAACTATTTGGATGTTCCTTTCCACTGTCTTCCATGGGCGACTGGGAGCCACCATCATGTTTATTCTCTGAAAGTGAAAGTGGCTCGGTCCTGTCTGACTCTTTGTCACCCTGGGGACTATAAAGTCCATGGAATTCTTCAGGCCAGAGTACTGGAGTGGGTAGCCTATCGCTTCTCCAGGGGATCTTCCCAACCCAGGAATCGAACTGGGGTCTCCTGCATTGCAGGCGGGTTCTTCATCAACTGAGCTGCCAGGGAAGGCCTGTTTATTCCACAGGGGCTCTGCTTAGTCCACAATGGCCCAATACCCCAGCCTTGTTGATGGGACCCTGTTTGGGTGTGTTGGCATCACCGTGCCCTTTAGCTCTGGGCTCCTGCTTACAGTGCACAGCAGGGTGAACCATGGGGACTGGGCATCTCTGAACATGTGATGCAAACAATAGGTCGTAAAAATCCTGTTGAATTAATACGTCAACATCCTTCACAGACAACAAGAACTTACTCCTCACAAGGACAGAGATCTTTGTCTGTGGGTTCATGACCTCCAGCACCCTCAGGGGTGCCTGGCACAGAGCAGGGACTTCAGTACCTGTGCCCTGAATGGACAGATGGCGTCCTGAGACTCTGCACCATCTTGGCATCAGGAAGAGAGTGTGACCTGTGCTTGCCGGTCTAAGGATGAAGAATTGAAAACGTCCCTTGAACAGGATCATTGCCCCATAGATGCTATATATCACTTCTCTCCCATTTCCAGAATGAAGCTCTTCTGTTCTTGTTCAAATTTAACTTAAATGTTCCTTGGAAATTCACAGATGATTTGAGAGCTCAAGTCAAGAAGAAGAATATTCAGTTGGAATCTCTAAGGTAATTTCCATTAAGTGTGTTGTTTGATAGCATGAAAACAGATGGAAAGAAAGCATCTTCGTCTCTTCCTTATGGTGCACTGGAAATAAAAAAGTTAGAAAGTTCTCATAAGATTAAGTCTATAATTAAAACAATTTGGGTTGATTTAACAGTTGGTTAAGCAACTCTTTCAGTTCCTCTTTGCGTTGTCAGAGATGAAGATAGCAGCTTTGTCTGTGATTGTTAATTATTCTTTTTTATTACAGGCACAGCACTTGGGATGTTCTTTGTGCTTTAGTCTTCTCTGTAATTCAGTATTATGGTCAAAATGTTTATTTCTGCCTTGCCAAAGTTTTCTTCTTAAGCTTCTAGCAGGAAAATTACCTCCACTTCTCATTTAAAATTTAGAGCCAAACAAAGCCTGTGCATCTGGTATGAGTCACCCCTGTTCTCTGTTCAGAACGTGGCATCTTTGTGAGGTCTCTGCTTTCTCCCTTATCGATGCCACATCGATTTCTCCCCAGATCTAGGCACTGCGTAGGCCCCCCGCCACTCACCAAGGCGCTCAGACTGCTTCTGTTATCAACATACATTCAATGCATCTTCTTTACAGAATATCTAGAGAATGCAAATATACAGAGGAAAATAGAAAGAAATTGTAATCATTACATATACCATCAAGAGAAATCCTCATAATTACTCTTGGAAGTATATCTGGTTCTTGAACAGGTTTTTGAGAATCTCTTTAACCAGTTACCATTTTACTGTAAGGCTTCTCCCTTAAACAAAAATACACTGAGAGAATTACTTTATGTCTGCAGAAAACCCCCTCTCTTTAGAGTTACCACTGAGGTAACTCACCATCCCTTTAATAGTGGATACAGTTATTGTTTAAAATGTTTTATCACAAGTAATGATGCTTGATTCTTCTTCCAAATACACACTTGTTTACATCTCTGATTATTGAAGTGACATACATTTCTAAAAGTCCACGCCTTTTAGGAAAGTGAAAGTCTCTCAGTTATGTCCGACTCTTCGCCACGCCATGGACCATCCAGTACATGGAATTCTCCAGGCCAGAATACTGAAGTGTGTAGCCTTTCCCTTCTCCATGGAATCTTCCCAACCCAGGGATCAAACCCAGGGCTCCCTCATTGCAGGCAGATTCTTTACCAGCTGAGCCACAAGGGAAGCCCAAGAATAATGGAGTGAGTAGCTTATCCCTTCTCCAGCAGATCTTCCCGACCCAGTAATTGAACTGGGGGTCTCCTGCATTGCAGGCGGATTCTTCACCAACTGAGCTACCAGGGAAGCCCACACCTTTTAGGAATAGTCACTAATTATCAGAATGGTTGTTGTTTTGGTAGAGAGAATTATTTTCTCATATCAGAATAATTGAAAAGAGGGGATTATAATACCTTCTTTAAGATATAGCATTTAACTAAAAAATGAATTTTAAATGCCTTAAGGTTAAGGTGATTTTTTATTTAACCTAGATGTTGCAGCAAATCACAAAAAACACAATTTGAACTTACAATCTCAGAAACACAGTTCTCTCTCTCTCTCTCTTCTCCAATTAGAACTTCTGACTTCAGGGGTTACTCCTGGGCCTGACCCAATGTGGCTGTGAGCTGAAGTTCAGGCCAAGAGCACGTGAGTGGATGGAGGTAGGATGCGAAGACGGGATGGGGATGGGAAGACGGAAGCTCCACGAAGATGCTTTCCTCAGTCCCAGGAGCCGTGATCAGCAGCAGCAGTAGGCCCATCTGAAATCAGTCAGTGCCTGGACAGGGGCGGGGGCGTGTGTCCACCGAGAGACAGACTGACTAATTCTTGGAACCTGTGAATGTGCCTGTATTTGGAAATGGAATCTTTGCAGATGTGATCAGGTTGGCACGATGTGACTAATCAGGGTGGGACTAAACCGTTTTGACTGGTGTCTTTGCAAGGAGAGGAGGCACAGACGAGGAAGGACATGCGGAGATGAGGAGACTGGGGCGATGAGTCCACAAGCCCCGCGTGGAGCCCCGAAGACGGAGGACGGTGGCCAGGAGCTAAGAGCTCAGCTCACGGCAGTTTCCCCCTGCGCCCCTCAGAGGGAGCAGGGCTCTACCCGCGCCTCGCTACTGGTCTTGAACAATAGAGGTGGTGACGGAGTACATTTCTGTTGCGTAAAGCCACCTGGTTCGTGATCCTTTTTCGTGGCAGGCGCTTAGGAGCTAAGTCGAGGCCCAGGGAGTCTGTTCACGGAGGACGGAGGAACAGCCCAGGCGGCATCGGAGGAAACCAATCCTGGAGACTCACCTTCGGACCTGAGTCCCCCCGGCGGCACTGGCCGGTGTGCTGCGTGGGCTCGCTAGGGCTGGCGCGGCTGCCGCCGGCGGGCGTGTGTCGGCCCAGTGACATCACTCGTCGCGGTGTGACCCCTCCGTGAACCCCTCGACCCGCGTGTGGGAGGTGTCAGCGCAGTCCCAGGCAGAGTCCCCGCTTCCTTTCCTGCCAGGCCAGCCCCTGCCGACGGCTGGCTCACTCTGTTCTCTCCCATCAAGTTCACCCGCCTGCCAACAGGATCCGGATTTCTGCTTGTTTGCATTTTTTTTCACTTCAAGTGGCAACTGCCTACCTGTTTCCTTATGAAAAAATAGAAGAGCAAGATAGTCAACATACAATGCTATTTGTGGTGACAACAGCCTGAAGGAGGATTTCGCAGAGTGGATTTTCTCCTTTTCCTTCTCCCCCCTCCACACCCTGTTCCTGAAGCTGCATCTCCTTCTCATTCTTACCGTCTCCCCTCTCCGCCTGGTCGTAACCACTGACTCCCTCCTCCCTTGTCCTCTGCTTAACCCCTCTTCTTTCTCTGCCTCTTTGGTGCTTCACACCATTTGTGAACTATTTGTGTGAACTACTGAAAGTGTCTGCGAAGCTGCGGTGAAAAGATGCCCAGGTTTTTAGCAACTGCCCCTTTCGGATGTTGTCACACCTGCGTCTGAAGAATCCACATGGAATTGGAATCTGAATCCTGGAAGGATCCCTCCGGTGGATTATGTAACGGCTGGTGATGTATTATCCACATGGGTATCTTATACGCTCTGTCATAGTTGACAAAGAGCAGCATGTGGATTCCCACCAAAACTTTGGGGGTTGTATTTCTAATAGGGCTTCACCCAAACACACTCTCTTTGTTGACTTACTTAGCATTCTCCTTTACAGATCAGTTCCAATATTAAAGGGAGATATAAAAATAATCCACGCTTGAGAGAGAGTTTAGAAAACAAAAAAGCACAATCCTATCACCTTACAGGGTTTACACACACTTTTTGAAATATTAAGGGAACATTTGGAACTTCCGGCTTCCCAAGGTATAAGAAGTTTTCCGGGAATAAAAATGAGTTCAAAGACTCATGTGTGTACAAAGTCTATGAGGTTGATTTCAGAAGAGCCCACAGGATTTTCTGAAACAATGTCACGTATAGTACCCAGGCCTCAGGGTTCAAAACAGAAATGTATTTGAGTCTTGGGTTGAAAAGTGCCCGGAATCACTAAATGTCAGAGCAGGCGGACAGGAGGCATCCTTCCCGCCGGGCTGAGCTGATGTCCACCCCAGGACAGCGGGGGCCCTGTGTGTCTGCCTCCTCTGGGGACCCAGCCAGGCATGCAGTCAGTGGTGGGCTCAGGGCCGCAGAGGGTTAACAGAGCCATGGTCAGCTGAGGCACTTCCAGATAATAAAGCAAACCATTAGGTGGAGGAAAAGCATGTCAGTTTGATATAGAGATGCCCCTTGGAATCAATGACTCCGCAGATTATGAAAAGTATGAAGAACGTGTCCCAGGTGCGGCCTCTTACTTCTTGATGTCAGCTTGTTGGCGGGACACAGTAAACGGGTCACTCCCTGGGGCGGGGCTCACCGCTGGGCAGAGAACGCTGTCTCTGCTAAGAGTCAGGAAGACCTGCCGCCGGAAACGCCTGTGTTTACCGACAAATCTCCTGTAGCCTGGCGCAGCTGTGGTCACCGCGTCCTCAGGCCAGGCCGACTGGCAGTGTGGCCAGGTCCTGATGCATCATATAAAGCGGAGGGAAAAAACGTAGCTAGATGACCCCCAGAGAAGATTCCCTCGTATTTTGTGCTTTATTCCTTTTTAGTTTATAAGGAAAGGCGTACGGGGGAGAACTTGCAAGATGAAGTAGGTAAAGATAGTCTCATTCTTTTCTCTCCTTATAAACCAAGTTACAAGGTGAATCAGTGATTTTATGGGCCTGCCACCAAGACTGCCCGTAAAAACTCTCATTCTTTACACAGCAAAGCCCCGCAGTCCCGGGACAGCTCTGCACCCCACCTCCAAGGCCAAGAAATATCGCCACCACCTCCTTCCGCCCCGATGTCTACCACAGGGATGCAGACCCATTTTCTCAGCTGATGGCACCCTAGTCTACAGGGAAAGAGAATTCTGGAACAGCTATCTTTTCTTACCAACACAGTTATTCTGAGGGCTTGGGAGAAGCCTAAGTGAAGCGTCTTTGCTTCAGTCTTATTTCTGTCACCACGACAAATTCACCTCCTCTGTTCCCTCTGTGTGACCCTCATCCCCTCTGACTCATTAGTTCAGACTGAAGAATGGATCAAGCGTTGCTTCATTTTCCTAAATGCTCTGCGGTCTGAAGCCGCCATCCCTCCTGACCCGTGCTCCTCAGACGTGCTGAGCGCTCCTCTCTGAAGAGAGCTCCGGCAGGAAGGGACAGCTTTTATCTGGAAATCACGCACCCGAGGCTGGCCCTGCCCACAGCCCCCGTCCGGATGGAGCCGCCCGCACGACCGCACCACCCCGTTTAGGGCACAGGCGGACGGACCGGCCTGGACGCTCCCCTTCTGCCCTCCGGCCGGGGCCCCTGCTTTCTGCCGATTTCTCCCGCAGAGGTGAGGGCGAGGCCTGGGAACAGCTCTAGGAGCCCCGGCTCGTTTTCTGTGTTTACCCCACCCCGGGTGCTGACCCCAGTCCTCACCCCTTTCCAGGGGTACCAGAGGAGGCCAGGCCTGCAGTCCTTCCTGTGGGGGCTGAATTAACTTTCCAGGGTCCCTTAAATCTGCAGACTTCTCCCCCAAGCATTGCTCCCAGCTGGTACGATTATTATCGTTGGTTTAAAAATTGAAACAGGAGAAGTATTTTCACAACTGCTTTTAGAAACCGTTCCCATAGGAAGTGTGTCTTTTTTCTTTTTCTTTGGCTGCATCGCACAGTGCAGTGTGAGTGAGTGAGTGAGTGAGTCGCTCAGTCGTGTCCGACTCTTTGCGACTCCATGGACTGTAGCCTACCAGGATCCTCAGTCCATGGGATTTTCCAGGCAAGAATACTGGAGTGGGTTGCCATTTCCTTCTCCAGGGGATCTTCCCGACCCAGGGATCGAACCTGGGCCTCCAGCATTGGAGGCAGATGCATTACCGTCTGAGCTACCAGGGAAATTGTATACAGGGGTCTTAGTTCCCCAACGAGGGATCAAACCCCAGCCCCTTGCAGTGGAAGCTGGGAGTCTTAACCAGTGGACCACCAGGGAAGTCCCAGGAAGTGTGCCTTCTGCCCCACCTAGGGCTGAGTAGGAGGTCAAACCAGTCTGTCCTAAAGGTGAATATTTTTTGGAAGGACTGATGCTGAAGCCGAAGCTGAAGCTCCCACTCATTGGGAAAGACTCTGATGCTGGGAAAGACTGAAGGCAGGAGGAGAAGGGGACGACAGAGGATGAGATGATTGGATGGTATCACCGACTCAATGGACACAAGTTGAGCAAACTCTGGGAGACAGTGATGGACAGGGAAGCCTGGCATGCTGCAGTCCAGTGGGTCACAAAGAAGCCTGAACAACAGCATGTCTGAGTAGCACCTGCTTCTCTGTGTGGGGTTCTGAGAAGATGGTTGTGATCCAACAGCTTCCTGTACCCATCCCTTAGAAGGAGCAGAGAGCTATATACACTCCAAATACCATTTTCAATCAGTTCACCAAGCAGATTTTAATTTTAACCCTATGGGCGCACTGACAAAATTATCACCCTATAAAAATAAAGATGTTCACAAAGACATTCTGCTGTCCTGGAGGTGTGGTCAGGAGGTGGCTCTGGGTCTCCTGGGTGGCTTCCCACCAGGCACCCCCGGCCCCTCCGGTGCAGTGATCTCAGGCCCAGCGGGTCCTGTTGAGGAGCCGTGTGTGGGCGCAGAGGGGGCTGGACTGATGGAGAGGGCTGGGCAGGGTGGTGTGGATCTCAGAGGGGTCCTGCAGGCCCCCACCGTCAGCGTGAGGCCGCCTGTGACCTTCCCTTACAGGGACCCTCAGGCTGCCACCCAGGACCCCTGTGGCTCACCTGGGCTGGCTTCACCATCTCCAAGGGGCCCGGGACACTTGGGGTCTCTCTCACGGCTGATCAACCCTCTCAGGGCCTTTTGACCATGCTCCCCTTGGCCAGGACAGGGTCTCCGCCAGGTGGGTTTGCACCATCATGGCCAGGGCGCGCATTCAGGTCTGGGGTGGGAATGTCTCCCTTGTAACCAGCCCTGCTGAGCCGGCAGCTTCGGCAGACGGGGCTCCTGGCGGGCGGTTCAGAGGGTGAGCACAGGCTGGCTCCCAGCCTTGGGTTTAGGGCTGCAGCTTACGCTCTCGGAACGCACGCCGCTGTGATCCTCTTTCTCGCAGGGCTGGATTCATGGACAAGCTGGCTCTGCCGTGGTGATAAAGGCCTATTCAGTGTGGGGTCCAGCCCGCGGAGACACGCAGGGATGCCGGGGTGGGGATGGAGCTCTTGTGCCCCCTACAGCCCAGAGGCGGCAGGTTCATCACAGAGGCTGACTGATTTTATTTATTTTTTGAATGACTGTTTCCCAGCCAGATCCTTGAGTGATTTATTTCTCATGATGCATTAGTGAGTCCCGGAGTTTATGTGCGGAGGCCTGGGAGTCTCTGATTTCTGAATGGAAGCTGTTTCTCTCTCCGTGTGCTTAAGCAGCCTGGGGTCCGTCGTCACCAGCTGGGGGATGTCCTGGTGGCTGGACCTTCCTGGGAGGTGAGCTCCGGCCGGCTGCACAGGCCAAGGATGGGGTGGCACGTGGTGTCCACCACCCCTTCCAGCCCGAGGCCGCAGGGGTCACCTTCTCAGCAGTTCAGAAGCAAGAGCGACGGGGTCAGACGCCACTAGCAGCCAGACAGAGATGGGTTGTGTCCCTCCCTCGTTCAAAAGCTGGACTTTGCTGTGGGTGGGAGGCTCAGCAACAGCCTGCTCTGCACAGAGAGACAGAAGAGGAGGTGAATGTGAAGAGATATCATTTTATACATACACATATCCATTTACCATAATTATATACACACATATCGGCTTCCTAGAGGCTCAGACGGTAAAGGATCTACCTGCAATGTGGGAGACCCAGGTTTGATCCCTGGGTGTTGAAGAACCCCTGGAGAAGGGAATTTCAACCCACTCCAGTTTTCCTGCCTGGAGAATTCCATGGGCAGAGGAGCCTGGCGGGCTACAGTCCATAGGGTTGCAAACAGTTAGACATGACAGAGCAGCTAACACTTTCACTTTCATGTTATATATATATATACAGATATATATGTTGATATATACTGTATATATATATAATGTGTATTTATACACATACATATCTACACACACATATAGAATATTTATATTTATATAAATTATTATTTAGATATATTATATATATCTATATAGATATATTATATATTATTATATCTACACACACATATAATATGTTATGCATATATATACACACATGCATATATACATACATTGTCATATATGTATGTATGTATATGCACTATATATCATAGTATGTATATATATATATTTTTTTTGTATATGGCCTTCCCTGATGGCTCAGATGGTAAAGAATGTGCCTGCAATGAAGGAGACCTGAGTTCAATCTCTGGATCAGGAAGATTCCTTGGAGAAGGGAACGGCTGCCTATTCTAGTATTCCTGCCTGGAAAATCCCAAGGAGAGAAGAGCCTGGTCGGCTACATCCCATGGGTTCGTTATATAATCCTCAATCTCACACACACACACACTCACACACACACACACACACACAGACACACACGCATACACACATACAGACACACACAGACACACACATACACATATACATACACACAGACGCACAGACACACACAGACACACAGACACACACACTCACACACACAGACACACAGACACACAGACACACACAGACACAGACACAGACACACACACACTCACACACACTCACACACAGACACACACACACACACATCACACATACACACATACACACACATACACACATACATACACAGATGCACATATACACAGACACACACACACAGACACAGAGACACACACAGACACACACGCATACACACATACACACACACTCACACACACATACAGACAGACACACAGACACACACACATACACAGACAGACACACACACATCACACATACACATATACATACACACACGCACAGACACACACAGACACACAGACACACACACATACACGCACAGACACACAGACACACACACTCACACACACAGACACACAGACACAGACACACATGCACAGACACACACACACACTCACACACACAGACGCACAGACACACACACAGACACAGACACACACACACTCACACACACATCACACATACACACAGACACACACATACACACATACATACACACATGCACATATACACAGACACTCATACACACACAGACACACACGCATACACACATACACACACACACATACACACAGACACACACGCATACACAGATACACACACACATCACACATACACACATACATACACAGATGCACATATACACAGACACTCATACACACACAGACACAGAGACACACACAGACACACACGCATACACACATACACACACACTCACACACACACAGACAGACACACAGACACACACGCATACACACATACACACACACAGACACACACACACATACACAGACAGACACACACACATCACACAGACACACACACATACACACATGCACAGACACACACACATACAGACACACACATACACACAGACACACACATACACATATACATACACACATGCACATACACACACAGACGCACATACACACACACAGACACACACACTCACACACATACACACACATACACACATGCACATACACACAGACACACACACTCACACACATACACACACACTCACACACACATTGCTGTGCTATGCTTGGTCTCTCAGTCGAGTCTGACTCTTGGCAACCCCGTGGACTGCAGCCGCCAGACTGCCCTGTCCGTGGGATTCTCCAGGCTAGAACACTGGAATGGATTGCCATGCCTTCCTTAAGGAGACCGTCCCGACCCAGGGACTGAGCCCAGGTCTCCTGCCACTGCAGGTGGAAACTTTACCACCTGAGCCACCAGGGGAGCCCATATATAATGCATATAAACACAGATATATATTAACATATATATAATATACATTTAATTATATGCTAATATATACAAAATATATATAATAGCTTTCTAGGTGGCTCAGTGGTAAAAAATCTGCCTGCCAAGCAGGAGACTTGAGTTTGATCCCTGGGTCGGGAAGATCCCCTGGAGAAGGAAATGGCAACCCACTCCAGTATTCTTGCCTGGAAAATCCCATGGACAGAGGAGCCTGGTGGGCTACAGTCCACGGTGTTGCAAAGAGTCAGACTCGACTTAGCGACTGAAAACAATATATACATTATGTATATATATAAACACACACATATATCCCAGCTCCTAAACCCAGACCCAGAGCTTGCATTGCCAGCCTGACTCTCTCGGTACTAAACCCGGTAGCTGGGCGCAGAGTCAGAGGGAGCATCCTTTGTCCTGAGGAGCCTCACCTGAGCAGACCAGGGCTTCTTCATCCAGACCCCAATACAGATGCAGAGAGAAACATTCAGAAACGTGGAGAAAAACTGACCCGTCCCATTCAGTCTGCTGTGTTTCTTTTCACACGGAGAAATGACGTAGCTGTCTCTGCTCTCCAGCCCCGCCCTTACCCTTCAGAATAAACCCACACGGGTGCCCCACCTCTGCGCAGTGTAGACACAGGATATAACGTGATCCCATCCGCTGGACACGTGGAATCAGTGTCGCGGCCATTGCCAGGCTGGCCTCTGCCTGACTGCCCAGGACTAAAGATGCCATTCCGTGAGGTTCTCCATTCACTTTGCATGGTGCTGACCCTTGGATGGGTACCCAACAAGGCTGCCATTCCCACAGGATGGCTTTGTCTTCCAGCTGGAAAATCACCCCTGAGCTTTGTCATCACCCTACAAACTTGCCGGATGCCATCGCTGAGACAGACACCGAACTCATTATTATTATTGGGTCTACTTTATAGCGATTTCCAATCTGTAGAAAGGGGTACTTAGTAGAGTTCCACAGCGTGTTTTCCATCTTGGATGTATTTTAACTCCATTTTCAATACACAAACACCTCCTTAGCAGAACTCCTGCAAGAACAAGGGCAAGTCTACCTATGACCCAATTAGCAAAAGGTGTCCTTATTTAAGAGTTATAACAACTTATTATGATTTTTTTTCTTTACTTAAAAAGATTAAAATTGCATAGACTTGTTATAAAGAAAGCAAATCTGAAGAACTACATGAAGTAAAATGTTAGCTTTGTGCTTGTAACCTCCCCATCCTGTTTCTCAGAGGATACCAATGGTAATACTGTGTTTACCTTCTCCGAATTGGAACTCTTAATGAAGATTCCAGAAAACCTTGTCAAAACTGCACTTAGGACAATGTTAACAGTCCAGAATGTTTCTCCATGCAAGCTGCAGACAGCTTCAAGGTAAAAAAACAATGGCCATTTTCTTGAGCAATGCATTTCTCATATTTCCAACACAAAATCATCATTATCTCTACATCTTTTAGATATACAGTAAGGAAAAGTAGAAATATGTGAACTGTATTTCACTTGATGACACACACAAATCTTTCACTCAAAGACTGATATTTCTTTACAGATTTCTTTTTGATGTAGAAAAACTGGAAAATATTTCCATGCAAAGCACCAATAAATTTGTATTAAAGCGAATGAAATTAAAGATCCATATAAGAACATCTTGTAAAATGGTATAAAGCACAATATAAAAAACATAATATAAAATAAAAATACATTTTCCACAAATAAATTATGTCCCCAAAGATTAAGTGTATTCAAAATGCAAAGAACAGCTAAATAGAGTGTTTTATGGAAGCTGTAGGAGGGTTTTAAGTATGTTTTTTAGTGGGCAAGGAATCCTATTTTGCAGAGCTATAAAAGTTGCTTTCTTTTTTTAACCCTCAGAAAAGTTCTAAAAAATCTTTCCAGATTCTTAAGCCTGCTGAGAGTCTGCAAAAATCCAAACAAATGTTAAAATTGCCCTCATGTTACATCCATTTTTAAAAGTTTATGATATAACTTACTCAAGAGACAAATAATGCCTATGCTATGATTTATGTAGGTAAATAAATAGCTTAAAATACAAACAACAAGATATATTATAAAGAGAATTGGGATAGTTCTGATTCCTGTAGCTATTGCAGAAAATAACACTTGCCATATTTTACACATTAAAAGTCTTCCTTTTTATTTTAGGAAAGAAAAACAACTCATCTGAGCTTTCTTTCTTTAAACATC